GGCAGGAAGCCCCTCGGGGGAGGCGACCCGCGTGGCGTGAGCCCCGCCCGTGTTTTTCTTTAAAGGACAAAGGGCACACAGCGCGGAAAGCTCTTTAAGTGTCCGGTGTCTGGGAACGGTGGCTCGCCCGTCCCTTCCTTGAGCCGCCCGCTTGGCTTTGGCAGGTGTAGCCTGGCCATAGTGCAGGGGTCCCGCTCCCCGCTGCCCGGTGACTTCCCAGGCACCAAAGTGAGAGCTACGGCGTAGCTGGCAGCCGTGGGAGTGCTGCTCTGCATCCCTGTGGGTGCCCGGCTGTGGGTCTGTCCGCTCGCTGCCCAGCCCGGATCGGGGCCGCGTCGCATAGACCAGCAAGTTTTGCAAGGCAGTTCTTCTTCGCGGTAGATGGCCAGTAGTCAACCGACTAAAACTAGTACCGTGGTGATTGCGTTTTATCAGTGCTTTGCATTAGAACCCTAGAAATAAAAGGCGTTAAATGATATTGCAATGACTTATCTATTTTTTTTAATTTTGTGGTATTCAGCTCAATATTCAACAGCGTTCAGAAGTGGTGATGACTTATTTTGTACTTGTCCTCAGGAAGCAAGTAGTTTTAGAACAAAAGGATTGTATTATGAAGAGTGAAACGTAGCTAATACCTAACAGTCAATGGTAAAGTACAAGCCATCCTCGGTTACATTAGAGAATGCCACCATGTGTTGTAGTTTGGTATGTATACTATAGCTCCTCTTCGGATTGGGTCGGAAGATAATTTTAAGAAGCATAATCAGGGATCTGTCCTGATTGATCCTTCCTGCTTTTTTTCCATGCTTCGTACTTGAAATAGCATAAATCAACAAAATCCATACAATTTTATTTTTATACGGCTTTATTACCATAAGGATTATTTCTTGTAACTCCTAATGCAGGCTAAACCTTGCCATTTTTAGGTAGTACAGTGATACAGGGAAGGTGAGCGAGAACATGTCAGTGGCAAAATCTATGGTGGCTTATTTTTAGGCAGTCTGCATGTGTGCTTAGAAGACTAGAGTACTTGGTTTAGGATGGTGGATTTATATATATGATACTTGTTCATGAAAACAAGTTTAGGGGGATTTGCTAACTGAGTAATTGTTCTCAACCACCTGTGCAGTCTTATTTGAGAGAAAACTGTATTTAACATTATATTATGGTTTGAGGAGGGGATGATTGTCTGACAGCACCGAGATGCCAAACATTTTCTTAGGTAGGAAGGGGCTTTAAAGAGACTTCTGAACTCGTCCTTTTTCATTCATTCATTTTTCATAAGGCACTTTGTGACATTCTTGAATAAGAGAACCGGATTAGAATATGACTCAACTGTTAACCCATACCACTGGTACAGATGATTTCAGTAGGAATAATCAGAACAAGGGCTATTTACTAGTAAAGTCTGCAGCATCAGACCCCCGACTTTATTTTCTCTAAGGATCCTTCAAATGGAGACATGGTGATATTTATCCATTGATTTACGTTAAGGTCTCAGAATTGCTGCTC